AAGGTCAGGAAGTAGTCGTAGAAAAGTAACGCTGTCACGAGGTAAGCCAAGCGTGGAAGGATGATAGGAGAGGCACCGTACTGAATGAAATGAGGTTAAAATAGTAGTTAGAGTTTCTGTGGCCGGTTTTTTGTCGTTAGCTCAAGTCCGTTGACTCGTCCAGGGTGTGAGACGCACAGTTGTCGTTGAACCTCTATGGTGTTCATTGAGGTGGATGAGCGGTACCGTGCATGAGTTGTTGTACCCGCTGCCAGAAGGAAGGAAGTCGAGCAGAGTCAAGGAAGGCCAGACCCAAGGCCGACGGTGAAAATAAAGAAGGTACTCATGGTTCGGATCAACCGGCGAAGGCGCCAGGTGCCTGATTGACGCCGGGATCAGCAACGATATGTCAAACGTATCAAGCTTCAACAGTTCAGCATTTCAGCTGTCGACGATGCTGTCGAATCCGATGTGGTCATAGGTCCGAGCGACGGCATCATGAGTAGTGGAGAGGGAACTGAACTATCGCGTTCATGAAATCCATACACTGAGGGAGTTGGCATCCAGCGTCAATATCCAGCATCAATATTGCATCAATAATTCAAATTCGCCGGGATTTCAAAGAATTGTCAGATTGTGGTGTTCGGCTGTGATTTTCGTCTGCGTGGCGTTGACGGGTACAGCCCTAAATCTCTAAAGTTAATGAAAGCAGAAGAAAGCTCACAGGAGAATGCCGTCTGGCGCTACGTGACGGTCCAAGATCCGAGTCACTTTGCTCGGCCGTGGACTCGATCCAGGCTCGCCATGCGGTGAGTCACTGACAGCGTGCCATGAGGAGCACCCGAAACGAGGGCGCAAAATTTCATATCAGCCGAGGTCCGAAAATCCTTGGGCAAATCAGCTGTCCCGACCAGTGCAAAGCTATTCCCGACCCTCCGCAGACAAAAATGGCGAAGAAAGGGCACGGACGCCAAACTGGCTAGATCATCAACAGACGCACGGCAATACGTATACGCAACTGTCAGGCGAAGGAGGGGAAATGATAACCCCCGAGTTGCCACCGAGCCCCAAGATGAGACGGTATAGCTGTGAGCTGTGGATTGCGAATCGCGTGGAGGTGGAGACGACTTCGCGATCGGCATGTCACAAAACACCGCAAAAGTGATAATCATCGCCGACTGATGGCACCGAGAATAGTTCCGTGGGGACGTATCTAATCCACGTAAACTCCTTATGTATGGAGCAACTTTTTTTTAGAGTAGATGGATCTTACCCTTTGCAGGCCGCACGCTGGATGTGTTAAGAAGAACATGGGAGATAGTCCCAGATAGGGGTTTTTCGACGGATCAATCCGGCGTACGTGAGTCCCACGGTTCACACGTTTTTGCTCAGACTGCTGAAAAACAATAAATTCAACACAGAAATCGGGGTGTACCTGTGCCGCGCCATCGCTGGGATGGCGGAATTTGATAGCTGGATTAGTGGTTTCATTTTCGTGGTTCGGTTCACAGTACCGAAGGCATCGTTAGTACTTTCAATGACCCAGATCTTCCATAGCATACGCAACGGGTAGGGGCTCGATTCACCCCGTCGTTCATGGCAGGATCGGGATGTCAGTTTTGTTTTCATTCTCTGGTGAGCATTTCGATGTCCTCCATTTTTTTAAGCAGCTAAGAGCCTGGGAACTAAATAAAGTTCGGGTTGGAAGAACTACCTGGGTGCCTTTGAAGTGCCGGTGTACGGTCCGCCGCTACATTCAGTAATATTATAATTCACTTATGCGGCAGGCAGGGGCTCGTCCAACTCCTGGGGCTCAAGCTTTCTTTTCTAGCCGCCCGATTCTACAGTCAACCCACACCAAGCAATTCTGGAAAGAGCGTTGATCTCAGTCTGCTTCCAGTCTGCTGAAGTCTCCGCTGAAATAACAAACCTGAAATGAGAAATGGCTACAGTATCCAAGTGAAGCACATGCTGAAACTCTGCCGTTCGGATTTTCGGGGTGCCTGTGATCGCGACAGTAATGCACTTTGCGTTAATTCTCTCGCTCATCACTCCCCGAGGAACACTGGTGTGATGAAGCGGGTCTCTTTTGACATGGGTGCCGAATGGGCGCCTGTGAAAGCTGTCGGGGCCTGTGCACATCATTTGCCCCACGAAGGCTGTACATACTCATCCTCAATGCCCCCCCCCTCCCCGCCCGGAAAGCCTCCACAGCTGGTGGTCCGATAGTAACCTCCAGGCCCCACCATTCTTCTCCATACACTCGCCAAACCTCTTTCTAAATTCTTACACCGCCGACAGCTCTCGGGCATCATCTCCAAGGGGCGTGGCCAGCCGATATCGAAAGAAAATGTGGACATTCTTGCGTGCTATCTTGAGTGAGTTCGACGGATCCACTATCTGCATTGATTCATCAGAACTCAGAGCCAAGGAGATTCCAACTTCCACTAAACTCGAGATACTGGAGGATCTCGAGGCCCGGGCCAAATGGGAAGCACAAGCGAAGACAATGGCACAGGAATATCCCCTCGCTAGGGTTATCCGTTTGCTCCATTCTCCTGAAATCACAATCATGGAGTTAGTCTGCTCTCTCTTGGGAAGCCTTGCGATGTGGAAATCGGTGAACGCCGAGGTCACTCTTCTGCACACTTGCAGCCACCTTATTCCCCTAGCAATGTGAGTTTTGACCCTTGCACCATTGACTCGAGCGTTGATTCTCTCCGTTGAGCCCCTCGGATGGCGTACCTCTGAAACAATCCGTCTATGCGCTGAGCTGCATCAGCATCTGGGAGACTGGCGCCCGGGATCTCATTACACAGTCCAATGTCCAGGAGTTAGCTGCGCTGCTCGAATCTGATGATTCAGATGTTCTGAAGTGGACTTGCCGCATCCTCGGAGAAGTTATTCGATCCGGGTGTGTTATAATCACTGCGTACACTCGATTGGAATCCCTTGTCGAGTAAGTAATTTCAATTCATTCAGCCTCCTGTGCTGAATCACTTGGAGGCATCCTTCAATGTCTGTTCAACAGGAGGCACTGTATGTGCTGCGTTGTGTCGACGAGGCCACCGAGCAAACGGAAGATATTTCAAACGGCACTAGTGTCGAAAGACCCTTCCATTTACTTCAGACTATGGCTTCTCGGTACGGGTTCCATAGATCAATTCTCTCTCTGCCTTACTTAACTTTCCACAGGGGCGCGGATCTCCCATTCCTGTCGGCGCTGAATTCGAGAGATATCAACGTGGTCAAAAGTGCAATGGCGGAATTCGAACATATCAGCAACTCCGAACCTGGAGCCATAAATCTGGTCAATTGCCATCTCGAACCTTTTGTTGAATTGCTAGGCCATGGGGATTTGGACGTTCTGGAATCTGCATGTAGGATTCTCGCCAACCTTACCCGCTTTGCCGGTGTTGCAATACGTAAACAGAATCCATATAGCAAACTCGCTCTGCTTCTGAGGTTCGGAGATAATGTTGCTGACCTTGCAATGTGCTGATGTGTATGTGCATTGCAGGCGTTCAGAATGTGCTACATTCTCGGCAGCATTGCACGGTGGCCATCTCTCCACGAAGCTGTACGTCAATTGGATCTACGTGATACCCTTGACCCCATCCAATCGCGGTAAGTCCCGTCGTGTTATGCCACAATAAATTCAATAACAATTGCAAGGGCACCCGACCGCTCGAGTCTACACAAGGCAGCGGCGTATGCCCTCCGAATGATCGTCTGCGCCAGTTCCGGCGTATCTGGGCCCTCTTTGACTGCTATTGAGGAGGAAGGAGAGAGCGTATCGGTATAAAGTTGGAATGTTTATCCACGAAGAAATCTTTATCCAGCGTCACAGCAACGTTCCCTGCAGTTTAATTTCTATTCTAAAGGCATGCATGTGCAGCAGGCCAGGCTTCGACTCCCCGCCTCCCGAATCTCCCGCTCCTGGCCCTTCATTTTCCCGCCGACTGCATTCCCCCGAACATTTATCATAAATGTATTCTCGGTGATTCAATTTTCTCAGAGCTATGAGGCACGATGCTTCGAGACGGTTTCTTTGTTGGCTTTCTTTTCTTTCGACTGTTGCTGTTTCAGCGCGGGATAAGGCGACGCAAAGATCAGGTTGCTAAAATTCCCTCGGGCTTCTTTGTATACCCTCGCTGACAGAAGTCAAGTATGTATTCAGGTTGAAATTGGTAGAAGGAACCGGATGTGGTGTACGGCGCACCGTTGCATTAATTGGTTTGCCACCGGGTAGGAGCGGAGCATTATGCAGCAGGCCGGGATTCGACTCCCCGCGTCCCAATTCTATACTCTTTTTAGGCGAACTTAAAGTTCATTTAGGCGTAGGCCTCGGTTCAAATTCTACGCGATATAGTCAGGTTGATATTGAGACAAGGAAGGGGACGTGGTGTACGGTGCACCGCTGCATTATTTAATGCACTGAATCACTTCTATCCGGTTATGCAGCTGGCCGGGGCTCGACTCTCCGTGTCCCACATCGGTGATTTGGAGACCTCTTTTTTCATCCTCAATTCCCCTTGAAAGCGGAAGGGTTGTTCAAATTGTTGGTGTGCGGTCCGATTTCTCAAGTCCGGGGTCAATGAGCTAACAAGGAGAATTGCGATTACCTCTGCGCTTTCGGGACCGCCGTCAGAAAGGAATCGATATATTCAGGTTGAAATTGGGGGGAGGAAGAGGGACGTGTTGTGCGGTGCACGGCTCCATTATTTAATCCACTCGTTTTCGTCGGTTATGCAGCAGGCCGGGGTTCGACTCCCCGCGTCCCACATCGGCGATTTGGAGACCTCTTTTTTTTGGTTCCGTCCAATTTCCGTGCCGATATCGATCTCCATAGCTGGATGTCCGATTTCCGTTCTCCAATTTGGTATCAAGTAGGTGTGGATGATGAGCATTTGGGAACACACTTTTTATTATTATTTGGGGGAGCTCTCACTGGGACGTACTTTGGAATCTGGCCAACGAGGTCGTGCCGCCAGAAGTCAGGTTGAAAACGGAATGAGGAATGGGACGTGGTGTACGGTGCACCGCTGCATTTGATAAAAGTGGATCGTGTTTAAAATTTGCAGTAGACCGGGGTTCGACTCCCCGCGTTCCACTTACAGAATGCGGTACCTTTTTATCCCACTCGAGATTTCTATAACTGTTGGTTCCGCTCACGTCCTGGGGATGATGCGAACACACCATTGTACTTGGATTGCTTTGATGCAGCAGGCCGGGGTTCGACCCCCCGCGTCACATTGGAGTTACGGCGTTTGTCCTTTTTTTCTCAGCAGTGTTTTTGTGTTGGGAAGAAATTCTTCGCTGGTCAGAATGTAGGTTCAACTTGGTGGTTCGATTCGCAAGTGCACATGATTTTGGTGGGAAGAATTATCTGGGCTCCTTTGCGTACCCCCGCTGCTAGAATTAATGGAGGTAACGAGGTTGAAATTGCAGGGAGGAAGAGGGACGTGGTGTATGGTGCATGGCTGCATTCGTTGGAAGAGAAAGCAGTATGATGCTGCAAGCCGGGGTTCGACTCCCCGCGGCCCACTTCCAAGTCGGCGTGTTCTTTTTCGCCCTCAGCCTTGTGACCAGTTCGATTTGGATAGCTGAAAGAGCTTAAGTGTCGGAGTTCGATTTGCAAGTGTCGATGAACCTATGATTAGAAGTTTTTCCTTTGCGTACCCCCGTGCTAGAAGTAATGGAGGTAACGAGGATGAAATGGAGAGGAAGAAGAGGGACGTTGTGTACGGTGCACCGCTGCTTTAATTTGTCGATCACTAGCTTCGGGGTATTATGCAGCAGGCCGGGGTTCGACTCCCCGCGCTCGCGTCCCGAAAAAAGCGACGAATTTTTTTCTTCTCTTGGCGTCCTGGTACGAGCGTCGATACGTGTCTGGATCCCCGCATCCTCCAAATTTTTCCGGTGCACCCAGAGAGCTAGATATTTTGTTTCGTGGAGGTACCCCAGCTCCTTCCAAGTTTGCCTGCCCACGCTGACGGAGAGTACCAGGGATAGCCAAGTGGAAATTGGGGAGAAGGAAGAGGGACGTAGTGTACGACGCACCGCTGCATTCACTTGAATTTTGAGCCGAATATGCCATGCAACAGGCCGGGGTTCGACTCCCCGCGTCCCACATTCTAGGTCTCTTCGTACATCTTTTTAGATTTCTTTCGCGAGGCATAGCCCTCGATTCGAATTCTACGCGATATAGTCAGGTTGAATTTAGAGGGAGGAAGGGGACGTGGTGCACGGCGCACCGCTGCATTAATTGATTAACCTCTGTGGGACATTGTGCAGCAGGCCGGGGTTCGATTACCCACGTCCCCATTCTCTTTGTCAGGCTCTTTTTTTCTTCTTGTGCATCTTGTCTTCCAAACCAGCTGTTCTGCTCCATGTCCATTTAAGCTCAAGTTGTTCTTTCCTTTTTTCTTTTGAGGGGGTGGAGCGTGGTTGAAAAAGGAAGCAAACGTTGCGCGTGTTTGGCTGACGGGGGATCGGCAAACAGCGGCATACGAGTCCGAGGATCTTTCTCACCGTCACTTCGGCAGGACTTCTGCTTGACTCCGACGTAGACGGCGACGGCTTTGGTCGAGGCAGGGGCGAGGTTGCGTGCGCGTTGCCCAAGACAAGAGAAGATGCGGTGGTAGGTGGTGAATCGTCCTTGTCGCAGAGCGCCTGGGAGTCGTGGCGAGTAAGTACGATCAGCGTGATGGCGACCTCGGGGGCGGAGCGCCATTGCCGGGACTCGGCCGCTCGTGTTCCCCGCTTCCGCTTCTCTTTTTCCGCCTCCCTCTGCCCATCGATTGTTCTTGACCGATACTAACCTCTTTTCCTTTCTTTCTCCCAATAGCGCGGTACGTCCTCGGTCTGGTGATGATGATTTCATGTTGATAGGATGTTTGGGCTTCAGCGACGTGGGTGCTGTTTTTCAATGCTGGTGTGTTCTTTTCTTTCCATGCACTCCCTCCTTCCACTCTTTTCCTCCGCCTTCCCCGCCCTCCCTACACTGAAAACGGGAGAAAAGATGCTGACGCCCTCCCCACAGTTGACTGATGGATATCCATATCTTTGGTCCTGAATAATTCTTCAGGCACCCGAAAGGACTCATACTGACTCTCTGAGTACTTAGCATTGAGGCAGACAGCCATATAAGGAAGATCGGCGATGATTCCTCAACATTCGACGATCTTCCCCGCCTTTCTATCTGAGTCATCATTATATTTAGACTAGCTATGTAGAGTATAAAAGGGAGTCGTTCCCTCTTGTAATGACATCTATTTCTTACCTCGAACAGAACAATCGACTTAGACTTTTCCTTTAAACCTTGTGTGAACTTCAGTGAAGCTGCGCGCTCCCTTCAGTATCTCGTCAAGCTAGCCGTAAGTTGTAAAGCCGCGCGCTTACCTTTCAGACTAGAAGCACCCCGCAGCTGGTTGATATTCCCAGCTCGTCTCGGAAGACTCGCTCTCTTAGACAGGTTGTCAAGGTGAACTACTCTGATTATATAGAGGTTCTCGAAATTCACAATTACTAACGAAACTACCCTGATCTTCAACATTGACGCGATCATCTTCCTCGCACCAATTGCGGGCTTCAACCGGTGCCCCAGAATTAGTACCCCGAAGCGCTGCAAATCAGTGCTTGAATGCACTGCAATGAGTACCCCGAGGGACTAAAAAGTGGTCAAAAGCACTGCATAAGAGTGAAAAAACGAGCAAAAGCACTTCATATTAGTGCTTTGAGGTACTATTATATAGTGCGTAGGGTACTAATCTGAAGAGCTTTAGGGTGCTATTTCTTCCAAATGGTGAAGTACTATTTTTGAAGTGCTTTTACTAACCACAGTGTTGTGCAGCTCCTCGAATGTGATCTGGGGCACGCCATGTGTTCCGGAAGGGAAGCCGCGATGCAGAGAGTAAAATAGTAGGCGCGGATGGAGTGCGCGAACGTGGTTTCGGTCGCGACTAGTATGTGACAAACATGGAGATATTGAGGGGATGGCGCGGAGCCCATCGAATAAAATAGAGAGCTTGCGCAAAGTCACCGCATGCGGCTTTTATTTTTTTCGCTCTGGTGGTCAGAGGGTGCTATTCGACACTCCTAGTGATGCTGCGGAGCAAAAAAAGTATAGTGCCGCGTGCGGTTTTGAAAGCCGCATGCGGCTTTTGCGCAAGCTCTCTAATGTCCTCGGTTTGGACTTTAGCAAAAGCAAGGAGCTCCATGAAGTTGCTGGGAACGTAGGCGTCGAATGTCTTCGGGCTGGCCATCCTGGTTGGTGTTTCAAAGAAGAAAGTTGCTCATGCGAAGGTACTGATAGTCAATATTTTCCTCTGATCCGTCTTATAGGGTCTAATAAAACTCGCGGCCCGTGTCTGTGAGCGAGGTTTGCTTGTGTGTGCGATGGCAGAACGACGTGCCATGGCAAGCAGCGGCAAATTTCTAAACTGATGAATAGAATTGTAGCCTGCAAATTACTGCGTTCCGAGGCCCCGTCGGCAGGTTATGCCGACATCGGCTGACGACGGGGGTCAGCACCGCAACCTGACGTCGGCCAATTTGGGCTGACATCGGCTGACGCAGGACTGACGACCATCGAACAGCTGAGTAGCCTAGTCGTAGCCTGGGGTCAACACTCGTCGCCAGACGGCGCCTCGCTGTGCCTGCACCCTCTCCCACCTGCCCTTGACCCGAATGGAACAATTGAGGCGGAAACGTAAAAAAGTCGGCAATGGTGTGAATCTGGGATAATTCTAATCAGCAACCCCCCGTACTCGTGTACGGGGGGTTGCCAAATACCAGATTGCTATTCGGCAACCCTATAATGTTGCGATCCCGGCTAACCGCAGATGTATAACTCACCGGGTGATTCGGAACATTCGGCATCTATGCCGGACGGTAGCTCATACTTTAGGTCGCGCTTTGCGTCTTAGATCTTGCCATCTATGGTCTGTCAGCTTGCTATCCCAGTCGTACTGATACTTCCTATTTTTTATTGCTATTTTGGTAACCTATTGTGGTATAGCCTTCTTACCCTCAGTCCCCGAATTTCCTTGGTAGTATTTGAGAGACTGCCTGGCACATCCAGACTGCTCACAGGGTGGTGGTAGTTCTGGATCACAGGATGTTCTGGCTAGCGCCAAAACTGTTCACAGGGCCACCAAACGGGTCATAACCAGGCCAGTTGTCCTGGGGACGCTGGATTTTCAGTATTTAAATTATGGCATGGGCAGTCTGAATACAGTCTTTCTCTATGCACTTGTGAAATAATTGCGATCCAGCAGTGTCCTTTGATAGAAGTTCGGAGCGCACTCTGCCGCGCACGGCATCACTCTCAATGTGCCGGCAAGCTGATCCGAGCAGGGGTTGCTAAATAGCATCGGCAATCAGCAGGTTGCTGAATAGCAGCAACCCCCGTACTGCCAGCAAGGGGGGTTGCTGATTAGAATTATCCGTGAATCTGGTGATGGATCGACCCAGATTTGGACTTGTCTCCGGGTTTTATGATATCTCCCGAGGCTTCGACAACCCCAAGTTACCGTCTGGAGGACAAAAAGCGGTTTTCTGAAGAGCCATGGACCTCGGCTGGGGTCGGCGTGGCCGACCTCGGCTGACGTGGGTCGGCATCGTCTGTGCCGACGACCTCGCGGAACGCAGTGAATAAACGAATGAATTATTTGGAGTATTCCAGCTTTCAAACCAGGCTAATATCGCTCCTCAAAGCATCCGCCACGCAGCGTTGCTTAGACCCAGAACTTTCAAAGCAAAATTTACTAGTTGTGCAGAATCAGGGGGTGGCAGTGCTTCCTGATATCATCAAAGTGCCGATTCCGAGTCCCAGTGCGGATGACTGTTGATTCTTTGTTCAGGACTCTCAAGCGCTCACCGAATCGCCGCTTGAAAAACGCTCAAGCGTCCGCGTTTTCCGCACTGTGAACCGCCAGCGACGCCTGTCACGCATGAATACGTAGTTGGATGACCTCGATGATGTCACTCGAGACTCCAACCACTCTCCTGTCTGCGACACACCTTACTTAACAGCCTTCAAATCCACCGTCATTCCCTTTCCCAACCTCCACGATGGATGAACCCATTGTAAGAGACTTTCTACCCATTC